CCATATGCGTCTTAAGCAAGACGCAGTACGAGTGAAGTATCGAAAGGGAACTGCACATTTTAGAGTGGCCTTTTATTGTGGTCAGCCTAAGGCACACCTGTGCAATAATCATTCTGTCTAATCAGCATCTTGATATGCCTCACCTGTGAGGTGGATGGATTATCTTGGCAAAGGAGAAGTGCTCACTAACACAGATTTAGACAGATTTGTGAACAATATTTGAGAGAAATAGGCCTTTTGTGTACATAGAAAAAGTCTTAAATCTTTGAGTTCAGCTCATGAAAAATGGGGGCAAAAACAAAAGTGTTGCGTTTATAATTTTGTTCAGTGTATTGTGCATATGTACAAAGAATCTATTTAGTGGATTAATAAAATGTTTTCAGTATGTATTAGGGGAATGATAGGACTTAAAAAAAAGAAGAAAAATAAATACAGAGTTTCAGTATCTTTCATTTTGTATAGGCCTCAACGTACGACAGCCCAAAAAAAGAGAAGAGACATCCCAGAAAATGGCGTCCCAAGAATTACGGGAAAGACAACAAAACAACCCTGCAGGTGATCCGTGACCCTTCTACTTGCAGATATTAAAACATAAAACCACCTTTAAAAAGGCTTTGTGTAGCTCACAAGGCAGTTATTAATCACTCCATGAATACTTCAAATTACTAGAGAGCTATGCATTTTTAATGTTAATGTAATGTTTTATAGAGCTGATTTGCTGATGTATTACATGCATGAATAGTGTGATGACAATGATAGTCGCCTCGTTTTATAGTCCCTTAAGTATTACACAAAGGACCATTAGTATTACTGCATGCAAGAGAAAGTTCCTATCATGTTTTCCCCAGGCCATTTATCTCTTGCCAAAATGAATAGCACCATCACTGACTGTTGACCTGGTATTTTCTCCTAATATTTTTAAGGTTCCGAGCTGTATCTCAGCAGGCTCTGTCCGTCTCCATGCATCCAATCCCAACCTTTCTTCAGTAGACCTGACCAATGAGAAGACTTACCATGAAATTCTAGAATCGCCTATAGACGTATCTAAACTGCAGGAAGACTTCTGCCGTGTCGCAAACAACCGTGAGTTCTGCTACAGAAAACTACTTTTAGTGATGTATGACTAGAATAATGCACCATTTATCCTATGTGACAAATGATACCTCATCATTCTCCCCTAAATCCTACATTTTTGGTTCAGAATGTCTTATTTGCATATAAAATACATGTCATCAGGAGGAAATTGCTGAGGGAAGAGCTAAAACTCGGGAGAATGTGACAGATGTTGATTGCAAATGGTTTTTTGCACTTTATCTTCATGAGGAGTGTGAAAATCAGTATCTCATTGTCAGAGAAATTACCCAGCTGGTCCCTTAGTACAGGTCAAAAGGTTTGATTGGACTATATCAAAACCTCTCTAGGTAAGCTGACCAGCAAGAATAAAATACTAAAACACTTAGAACAGCATGAGTTTCCATGCTAGTTCCTGTAATGTTTTGCTGGTTTGGTGCTGTTCTACATTATGGATTACTGTGGTATTTCTAGTGAATACTGATGACCAAATGTAGTATATCTAGCTGATTAAGCTAGTTATAAGTGGTAGTGATACCAGCACAGCATTTCATGCAAATTATAGTCTTTTGATATACATTCAAAGGATTTGGTGGCTCCAGACCTACAAACCTAGTGTGAATTGAAATGGAAAATCCACTATTTACTGCAGGTGGTTGGCCATTGTAAATTAGGCAACATCAGTGACATGCAAATAATCAAACCTTTAATGTATAGTACAGTATATCTGTTTATTACTGGTGCTTCTGTAATGTTGTTTCAAAAGTTGCTGATTAAGGCTTGAGAGAAATATCCCTGCTAATACAAGACACATGATACACAGCTTTAAATGAATGTGTAGTTTTGTTTAGTGATGAAATCTACACTAAACTACATAAAAACTAAAACGTTTACCTTCTTTACAGTGTCTGAGTTTCTCAGTGTACAGTGAGTTACTAAAACTGTCAAACTCTATGAAAAGATCTTGAATACCTCACAGTCTCTCTTTATTGAGTCAAAGTAAACACCTTAAATCATGTGATTTATAATTAAATTTTTATAAAATTGAACTTTTTCATTTAAAACAAGTCTCCAGTGCTCACCAAGACTGCATTTATTTGCTCAGAAATGCATGAAAACAATAATATTATGATATATTATTACAATTTAAAATAACTGTTTGCTATTTTAGTATATGTTAAAATGTAATGTATTCCTGTTATGGCAAAGCAGCCATTACTCAAATCTTCAGTGTCACATGATCCTTCAGAAATCATTCTAATATGCTTATGTAAATAATATTCATGCAAATATAATTTGGTGCTCAAGAAACATTTCTTATTTTTATCTATGTTGAAAACAGTTGTGCTGCTTAATAATATAAATGGAAACGGTCAGGATTCTTTGATGAATCGAATGTTCAAAAGAACAGCATTTATTTGAAATATTTGGTAACAGTTTAAGTCTTTACTGACACTTTAATGCATCCTTTACTGTGATCAGTTTAATGCATCCTTGCTGAATAAATGTATTAATTTCTTTCAAAAATAATTGCCTAAACCCTAAACTTTTGAACTGTAGTGTATATATAATATTTCCCAAATAGCATATCTATTTATTGTATTTATTTTTTTACTCAAAAAAAGGAACTTAATAAACTAAAACATTTTTATGTACCCTGATAAAACATTTAGGTTTTAGTTTAGGTACGAAAAATATGAGAAGTAGTTAACTTTGGTGAAACCATGTTCAGCAAATGTTTTTTTCCTGCAAGGATCTAAGTAATATCAACCTTTTTTCTGTTCTAAGCTCAAGTACATGTTTTCACTGTTTACTGCGCACACTTCCTGTTTCCTTGCTATCATAGCAACAATTTAAAATCACCCTTATGATCTGCATCTGCAGCAGGTTTTAGGAGGCCAAAGTAGCATATGAAACTTGCCCTGATGCAAGCCATGTGAAAGCGCCTTCACACTACTGCTATAATGAAAGTGGAGACTAAAATAAAAATTGTTCTTCCTGACATATGACTCAGAGATTATTAGGCATTGCATGAATATGTATACTCCCTTTAATAACAAGCAGATTGTGTTTCATAAATCATGTTTTAATAAATCATGCATGAGAATCAAAACCAGATCCTTAAATGATTTGTCCTTATATATTCCTGAAATGATGCTTAACTCTTTTTTTATGTTTTTGTTTCCAGTTCATACAACCATGAAATCAGCCCTGTGCATGTTGACGACAGAGAAAGAGAGACTTAAACAGATGCTGGAGCACGAGTCTTGTCCTGCCCCCTCGGCCCAGCTCCTGGGACTGAAGAATACCCTAGCTGCTGTATGCTCACAAACACACTCATTTCCTCTCTGTGCATTTCCTGAAGCTCAGCACTGCTTACTAACAATTGTTCAGTTTATTGCCTAAATATCTCTTTAAAACATTGCATGCAAGCAGAGCTCTTGTTTGGTGCTTATGTAAACATGAAGCTCTTATATCAATTCATTAAATGACCAAAGTATAAGACAATATTTAGATGTGCTTTCTAAAAAAGTGCAGAGGATTACCTGTGGAAGTGCTATTGTAGTATAAGGAGTATGTCGAGCTTCTAATGAATCTTGTGAACAATAGCGTTGACCCTCCCAGCAACAATTTGTACATGCTAAAAACAGTCTGTGCTAAATCGAGTGCTGTAACACTAAATTATGACTCATTTTCCTCAGTGAGTCACGTTATTGTGAAGCAGACCCCCACTCTAGCACTTCTAATAATAAACGCCAAACTAACATCTGTTATCTGTTAGAACTGCAGGGAAATCGGTTTGAAATTCAAATTCTGAATAATTTGTAATATATAATTATTCACGGTATTTAGAAGTGCCCACAATAGCAATATCGTGCATATTCATTACCGTGATATATCGCTTTACCGAATACAGGCACAAGTCTACTCGGGATAAAACCCAAGGCTTAAGTTGATTTATGCTAATTGAATACACACATACTCTATAGAGAGGCTGAGTCAGACAAACTAGTGCCAGTTAATCATGTCTCTGGATAGTTTACCCCCAAACCTACTTGCACGCACACTAACAACCATATACAGCACCCACGCTTCACATGCTATCAGTGATATGTTCCTGTGGAATTGCTTCATCAATAACCAACTTCCCTTATTGACATTCTAGTCAACATAATGCTTTTACGCTAATTAGCCTGCAAAGCTCTGCCAACTGTCTTTCCTTTTTGTCTTAAAAATCTATTTACAAAAATGTATAACATTTTTATCATGTGTACTTTGATATTCTTAACCCATTTGCAAGGTTCTTCTGGGTTAAAGCTGAATCGAATGCAGTAGGAGGGTTCATTTATGCTCATTTTAACCCTAAAAAACAATGTGACTGGACTTTTTTGCATGTAACAGTAATGAGAAGTTTGGAGGATAGTGTGCTTAATTGTCATGAAAATATTGAAAAAAATTGAATGGTTCAAAAAATAGGCATTATATATAATTATAGAATTAATTATATTAGTAATGTAATATAATATAATTTTCTTTTTTATTTTGGGTTCAAGTATGATCCACATTTTTTCTTTGTGATGTTCACCCATTTGGCTCTATGTGACTTGAAACCATGACTTTTCTTCATACAGAAGCAAGACTCCAGTGATGGTTCCCGTCCTCTTGTTCACCAGGCGTCTAATGAGAGCAGAGCTTCCATTACAGAGTCTCTATCGGAGTTCTTTGATGCGCAGGAAGTGCTGCTGTCAGCTAGCTCTTCAGAAAATGAGGTGAGAATGAAATCCCCTTTTTTTTCAGTCCCATAAATGTACTGCTCAAAATGTCATCGCATGCGCGTGTCATTCGCTGGGCACCAAAAGTGACCAAAATGAGTCGTACCCTGGAAGTATCCATGTAGAACAGAGTTTGGCTATAGTAGGCTATAGTATAGTGTCAGGGGTTTTAAACTGCTTCACGGACTGACACATTTCGCCTAGCTCTGCCAAATCATCCAATAGATTTACTGCCTCTGAACTGCCTCTGCTCTCTCCTTCACCTCAGGCAGACACTGAACCGAACACCCTATTAGGAGACAGAGGAAGGGACTAATTATATTAAGCATGTAATAAGTGCTACGGATGACATTCCACAGCTAGAGGAACCAGCCTGCCTGCCATCCCTGCTTTCTCACTCTAACTTCATTTCTGCCTTTCTGCCTCACATTGAGGCCGACCTGCTTAAGCGTCTCCTGTAGCAGACGTAATATGAAAATTGAGATAATTGCTTCTCTCTAAATATACCTCATGCAGAATTAGGCTTCTGTGTGAATTTGTACCCCGAAAAACGTTCTTCATCTTCTCCATTTGAGGGATGGACAATGAAATCTGCTCTATCTTTACGGTTTTGATAATGTGGTTTATTAGAGGGTGCAGAGAGATCCATACGGAGATGATTTCCAGTTGTTAGATGGTCAGTAGACTAGCTATGATACATGTATATTGTCAGAGAGCCAAACACCTGTAATGATGATGTGTGGTTTCCTGCTAGCCTTCGGAAGATGACTCATATATCAGTGACATCAGTGACAACGTGTCTATGGATAACTTCAGCAACGAGGTAGAGAATGACAGACTCAATACAGGTGGGTATGCCACATTTTTCCTCAAGTCATTGATATTTTGCTGTCATTCCATTGTTATTTCAAAGATCCAGTGAGAATCTCTTACGGTCTACATTTGACAGCTGTTTTATAGCTGGATGAGGGATTAGGTGTGTTCGGAAAAAGCACTGTCAAGCAATTTTAACAAGCCTGAACTAAAACTTCCAGAGACATTGCTGGAATTGATCCGCAAGCGTTTTTCCTTTTTAGGCTGTGTAGAGAACGGTGGTTCTCAAGAACAGCGGCGGTCTTGTCTTCCCTCCCCCAGTCCCAATACCAGCAACATCAGCCTGTGGACCATCCTGAAGAACAACATTGGGAAGGACTTGTCTAAAGTAGCCATGCCTGTTCAACTCAACGAGCCGCTCAACACTCTGCAGAGACTGTGTGAGGAACTGGAGTACAGCGAACTGCTGGACAAGGCTGCACACACACAGGACCCGTTTGAGCGCATGGTAGGGAGAGGTCACAAAATTGCACAAACCTATTTGCATATGTTTATGCATATTATCAAACATGCATAAACTTGCATTACTATTTGAGCTAATCACAGTCATTGTGCACATTCAAATAAAAAGAAATGCGAATAGTCAATGCTAGAAATGCCAAGAAATGTGTTTTTGCACATTTTTGGTGCAAATATGAATTCTCAAGAGGCATTCTGACTGCCATTTGTGAATGCAAAGCGTTCTGATTTCGCTTTATGTTCACATTTGCGTGTCCATACAAAGCTAATGTAACAAAACATCACTGAGGAAGAGATGAGAGCTCAAGATCTGCATAAAAAGCATAATGCAAGCATAAAAACTACTGTCTAATAGGGCCAAAACAGAAATTCATAACTATTTCTTTATGTGAAATAAATGGTCTCAGGTTTAAATGCACTTCCTTAGAATATCACATGAAAGTGAAGAAATTAGAGAAATATATCCTTATTGCATAATAATATTCTAATAATATTGTCATGTTCAATTTAAATCCCTATTATGTTACAATAATATAATATTAAAGAAATACCAAATTATGTATAATAAGATATTTTAATACTATATTATATCAAAACTATTTATTTTTATATGATTATATATAATTTGAGTATTGCATATTGCTTACTGTTAATATTGTGATATTCACACTTTCATATTCTGACTTCAAGTTGGCATTTTATAACAGTTATTATTATGTTACAATAATATACCTTATTACAGTATTATTATATTAATGGTATATTATCATGACATTGTATATTATATTGTTTGCTATTTATATTGTACAATTCACAGACACACACACATCCATAGTCTGACTTATGATGTCACGATGCATTAGACTTTATTAGCCTGATGTGATTGTCTAGGAGTAGAGTGATTCTTTTGAAAGCCTGTCTGATCCAGGCTGATCATCATGGGATCCACTGTTACTCATGAGTGCATGATTAATGTTCAGAAATCATTCTCCCTGCTTGGAAATGTGCTTTAGTCAGCTGCACTCTACTGTATCCAGTGACACTCTGAGTACCCATCATTGTTACTCTCTTAGTCTCTGGAGAAAAAAAGCAATCCTCTCTCTAAGTTTAAATAATAGCTTCGGCTTTTGAATTTACATTGCACTAGTGTCTAGGTTAGTCAGCTGCACTCTACTGTATCCAGTGACACTCTGAGTACCCATCATTGTTACTCTCTTAGTCTCTGGAGGAAAAAAAAGCAATCCTTTCTCTAAGTTTAAATAATAGCTTCGGCTTTTGAATTTACATTGCACTAGTGTCTAGATCAGTAGCTTCGTGGCTTTTCAATATGCTACCTGATGAAGTTTAATCACAAGAGACAAAGACAGCTGGAATTTAAAGTCAAACTATCAAAATTGATCTGTTCACTTAATGCACATTCTTGGTCTTGTTGGGCACCATTCATCACTGCTTGTTATTTCATAGAAGGAATTGTCTTCAGTCAAATAAAATACATTTCTCCACCTCTGAAATGATTTTCAATATAAGCTGATGTCACGTAGGCCACATTTTTTCTCAGTTGATTGACTAAAGAACATTTCTGGTACTGAATGGAAATGAAGGTGAACTAGAGCTCCTTGGTCATCACAGTAATTTATTGCCAGGTAAGATGAATATAAGAAAGGTTACAGCAATAATAGCAAATAATGACAGGTTTGAAAAAGTAACGTAACCATTGGGATATTTTGAGATGCTCTCGTGGGTGACCTTGACTTTCAGCTTTCATATGCCTGTCGAAAAGCCTCCCGGGTGCTGGAGGCGTTTCAGAAGAGGACTCGTCCTCCACAATCAAATGCAAAGTAATATTAAGGTCTAAAACACTTTTCATAATCCAATCAATTCCCTATAGATAAATACAAGTCCAGACTATAAGTTTTGCTGAATATTTTGTTTCATGCCAGATTATGTAAATAAAATGGGTTGTGAATTCAGCTTCACATGCCAGACAGATCAGTAACAAAGTCATTTCAACAGAGCCTTAAAGTAACAGTTCACGTAAAAAATTAAAATGTATTCACCCTCAGGCAGTTCAAAATGTAGATGAGTTTGTTTCTTCATCAGAACAGATTTGGAGAAATTTAGCATTAAATCACTTGCTCACCAGTGGATCCTCTGCAGTGAATGGGTGCCGTCAGAATGAGAGTCCAAACAGCTGATAAAAACATCACAATAATTCACAAGTAATCCACATGACTAACGTCTTGTAAAGCGAATTGATCATTAAGACGTTTTTAAATTCAAAATGTTGCTTCCGGCTAAAATACAAGTCCTCTATCCATAATATTGCTTTCTCCAATCATCTAATCTAAATCCGGAGAGGAATATGCAGGGATCAAGCACTGCTTACAAGCAAAAACAGTCCTAAACAAATATGTTTGTGGATTCTGATGTGAGAGAACAACAGGGGATGGACATTTTTCACTGGAGGAAGCTTTATTATGGATTGTGGACTCGTATTTTGGCCAGAAGTGACGTTTTAAAGTTAAATAGCCTTAATGATGGATTTGTTTCTTACAAACAGTTTTTCACTTCACAAGATGTTAGTCGATGGACTGGAGTCGTGTGGATTACTTGTGGATTATTGTGATGTTTTTTTTCAGTTGTTTGGACTCTCATTCTGACGGCACCCATTCACTGCAGAGGATCCATTGGTGAGCAAGTGATGTAATGCTAAATTTAACCAAATCTGTTCCGATGTGGAAACAAATTCATTTACTGTACATCTTGGATGGCCTGAGGCTGAGTACATTTTCAGCAGATTTTCATTTTTGGGTGAACTCACTATCCCTTTAATAAGGAGTATCATGAAATGGGCAACATACAAAACTAACTAAATGTGCTGTGTTCTGTTTGTAGGTGTACATCGCTACATTTGCTGTGTCCGGCTATGCTTCCAGTTACTACAGAGCAGGAGGAAAACCCTTTAATCCAGTGTTGGGTGAGACCTACGAGTGTGATCGTCCAGACAAAGGCTTTTGTTTTGTGGCGGAGCAGGTAGGACGCTCTCTGTAAGCTGTAATTGTGAGCAGATATGTGAATGTGTGTGTACAGCTCTCACAGCTGCTCTGCTTTCATCCTCCAGGTCAGCCATCACCCCCCCATTTCTGCATGTCATGCCGAATCTAAAAACTTCATCTTTTGGCAAGGTAACGTCACACTAATAATACCAGGCTTACTGTGTCAGTACAAATCAGCTAATGTCTGCAGATATGAAGCTGAGTGTGTTATATGTGGCTGATTTTAGACATGAGGTGGAGGAATAAGTTTTGGGGAAAGTCCATGGAGATTGTATCTGTTGGAACTACACACGTGGTTCTCCCTGGGTAAGATTTTGTCTGTTTATTAAATTCACACACAGGCCAGTCTGCAGTTTTTGGCTCCAGCCGTGTCTCAGGTGTTATCCATTTCAAGCACTAAGGCTCATTGTTTTTACTGCAAAATATAACTACTGCAGTGGAATTTATGAACCAGAAGGCAAATTAATTTAAATATACATTTAATTATACAACTCTAAAGATAACTTATTAATTAATTAATAAGCCCTTAAGGGGGGATGACTTAAAATTATTTATAATACGACAAAACAAATATTAAATTATATAAATGTTATTTCTTATATATTTTATTTAACCTTTATTTAACCAGAATAATCTCTCTGAGATTAAAAATCTCGGACCCGCTTTATATTAAGTGGCCTTAACAACTATGTACTTACATTTAAATTAATAATTTGGTACAATGCACTTATTGTGTACATACATGTTTTTACATTGTACTTATATTTTAAAAATACCTGCATGTAATTACATCTGTAATTAATTTCTGTAATTACATTTATAATTACACAGTTGACCCATCCCTTACACCTTAACCCACCCTTAAACCTACCCATACCAACAAACCTGTCCCTAACCTTACCCGTATCCCACCTTAATAGCAGCAAAAGTGTTTTGCAATACAATATGAACACAATAAGTACATTGTACTTAATTTTTGATGTAAGTACATAGTAGTTAAGGCCACTTAATATAAAGTGGGGCCAAAATCTCTTTCACAGGAGAGTCCTGGCATATTAATTCACCCCCTCAGTAACTGTGTTGAAAAATCTGAATATATGAGGAAGCTTAATTTTAAAAGTGTGATTTCTAGACCTGGGAAAGTCATGTAAATCGAAAAAACTTTACAATTTAAAACTTAAGTGTGAATGAATATACTGAATGAAAATCAACATAAATATTTCTAGTTATGTCCAACTCTATAATATTTTATTTGTTAGAAAATGAGTACAAATATTTTTAAATATCCATATCCGTATCCAGTAAATCACAAACAACTGGAAAGATCATGGGGCCTTGAATATTGTTGTGGACAATGGAGGTCCTTGGAGTCAAAAAGGTTGAGCCACTGGTCTGTTGCACATTTGTGACCAGTAGTATGTAGGATTAAAATATTAAAAAGTATGTTTACATACATTAAGGGTGCAGTAAAACAAGTGTTGAGTGTTGTAATTAGTAAAATGTGCATTTTAAATGTTACATTTTGAAATGTTTTTGATTTAATAAGTAATTGACAGTTCTAAATACATGTTACGTGTCAGAAACAGTAACCTGATGTATTGATGGTGCTTTGGAGTCTTTGGCTAGACCTTAGAGGTGAGAACAGATTGTAGTCTGGGTAAATGGTATCTTGAATGATGGCACCGTCCAAATTATAGCAGCAGCTGTGGTTGATGTTGTCAGTGTCCTTGTTCACCCTAAGCAATGGAGCTGTTATCTTTCCTGGAAACAGCAGACTGGGTCAGCGAGGTGTTGAAGTTGTCAGTGACTCAGCAGCACACATTGTAATGACATATGATGACAGACTGTCTGTGCCGAGTGGGTTGCGGCTCTTTCACTGTTCTACTGGTTTTACAGATCCTGTGATTCTTTGAATGGAGCTCAGTGTCCTCCACCAAACTCAGCTTATAATTTAAAGTTATAAAACATTATAGTTTTGGTGATTTACTATCGTTTTGTTTTGGAAATTTGTCTGTAACAAGTACTTGGGGTCTGAACAGTAAATACCATAAAATGAATATTAGTGGAGACTAAATGGATTTTTCAGTAAATGGTGCCATTATCTAGAGTAGGGCAGCTGATGATGTGCACGATAAAGCTGAAATATTTCACGGCTCTCTGGAATACTTCATTCTGATTGGTCGATTATGACATTCTGAGTTCTAATAACCTTTGCATAATGACTTCTGAACTGTATAATTGACATTTGTTGTCCCAGGGATCTGATTTCTTAAATAGATGTGCCAGTTTCATGTCTCTCGTATCATTCCAAGATATCTTCTTTCTCATATAATAAAATAAGTTCACTCAAATCAATATTTCATTCCCAATTATTTATTTACAAGTAGCCATATAAGAGGAAAATGTACAGTCAGCTGGTTATTAATTCAAATATTCTGGGCTGGGGGTCCTGATCACCCTTTCAGGGTTAGGCCAGAAACATACTTAAAGCAAGTCACCAAAGCTGGAATTTGATCAAAAATATGTATTAAATACAGTAATGCTGTGAAATAGTATTACAATTTAAAATACCTTTTTCTATTTTAATATATTTTAAAAATGGAATTTATTCCTGTGTTGGTAGAGCTGAATTTTCAGCATCATTACTCCAGTCTTCAGTGTCACATGATCCTTCAGAAATCATTCTAATATGCTGATTTGCTGCTCAAGAAACATTTCTGATTATCATCGTCAATATTGAAAACAGTTGTGCTGCTTAATATTTTTGTGGAAACTGGTTTCCTTTAGGTTTTTTTTTTTTTTTGATAGAAAGTTCGTGTTTTTAGGTGTAACAATGTAAACACCTTTATTTTAATTTTTAAATGCATCTTTGCTGAATAAAAGTTTCTTTTAAAAACAATTTTACTGACCCAAAACTTTTGAACAGTAGCGTAAATACCTTAAATATAAATACAATATATTTTGGCTAATGATACATAAAAAAAATTGCTGCTATTGTTTACTTAAAATCCACTATTTAAAAAAAATTGCTTAATTTATAGACGTACAGAAGTTAACTAACACTAATAACTAAGCCTTCTGTTAATCAGATAACCTAGCATGGTTATCATCCAGTAATCTCAGAATGACAAAATATCGGCCTGGGCTGCGTTTTCCAAAAGCAACTATGGTCGCAAGTTCCGTCGTTACCAATAGATTTCAACGGAACTAACTACCATAGTTAGCTAACGATGCTTTTGGGAAACGCACCCCTGACTGGTACTAGTGAATGTGCATTTACAGTAGACACACACTCACACTTTCCTCTCACCTTCAGCTTTGGAGATCACTATGAATGGAATAAAGTGACATCATGTATTCACAACATTCTGAGTGGGCAGCGCTGGATCGAGCACTACGGCGAAATCTCCATCAAAAACTCCAACAGTGAAAAATGCCAGTGTAAAGTCACCTTCATCAAGGTCAGCTCCCTGTGCTTTTTGTCCATTTTGAGAAAACACTTTCTGAAATGTTTTATTTTCTGCTATACTTAAAGCAGCACTATGTAACTTTTTCTGTGTTCTGTGTTGTTTGCAAAATGTATATAATGAGCGAGTACATCATGAATTCATCTTCCAAACCGCGTTTTTGTCTTATTCCGAATCACTACGGTACACTTATAATAAGTACTTATATTTGGACTATTGTAGCCTGGTCGGGCCGTCACCGCTGCGGAGTAACACATACCTGCGTGAATCGCCATAGACATAAACTTAGAGAAGTAGCTCCGCATAGAATGTTCTTCCGCGGGATGTGTGCAGTTCTGTTTATTAACCGCTAGAGCGCCAAAAGTTACATAGTGCTGCTTTAAGTATAGCAGAAAATAAAACATTTCAGAAAGTGTTTTCTCAAAATGGACAAAAAGCACAGGGAGCTGACCTTGATGAAGGTGACTTTACACTGGCATTTTTCACTGTTGGAGTTTTTGATGGAGATTTCTCCGTAGTGCTCGATCCAGCGCTGCCCACTCAGAATGTTGTGAATACATGACGTCACTTTATTCCATTCATAGTGATCTCCAAAGCTGAAGGTGAGAGGAAAGTGTGAGTGTGTGTCTACTGTAAATGCACATTCACTAGTACCAGTCAGGGGTGCGTTTCCCAAAAGCATCGTTAGCTAACTATGGTAGTTAGTTC